AGTAAGGGGTGTTGGGAAAGTAAAAAGGCTAAATAAATCCGTTGGGGGACCCCCCCTAGTTGTTGCCTTAACGGATAGAATTCGAAATTAAAACTGACCCATTCAACCGGGCTAGGTCGTCCGGGATCAAATAGTGAATTGTATCCTAACTGGTCCCCCTACCCTAAATCCCCCCAGACAGCGAACAGTAACGATATCGAGTCCAACGAGACAGGTTTCGAGCGGACGCGAGTCGGGGCGGACTCGACCCAGTTCCCTTGCTAGCCCTTAGTTCATAAGGTCAATGTGATTTTGGGATCTTTTATTTGCTTCGCAAGGTAGTCAAAGTTAGCTAGTTTTTTTCATCAAAAAAACATAATAGTTTAATTGTGTATGTTAGCTAATTCTTTGACGCATGACGAGATTACTCTAGCACTCTTAGTGACACACCAAATATTGATACTTTTCATTTTTCATAATTTGACTCAAAAAATAACTTTTACAATAGACTAATCAAATACAAATTACTTATTTAGAATCCCTTTCGAATTAAATTACCTAAAGATATTTTTTCCTTTAATATATATAATAATGGAAAGCTATTTTAATTTTTTTTAAAATACTTTTTTCCCCATTCGTTTTCTTTTTCTGTCGTCCTCAATTTCGTGAGCAACATAAACCCTAAATCTTAGATTCTTAGCTATTGCTTCTCACTTTCAAAACCCTAAAACCCCTAAAAGAGAGACAATACAATCGAATTGGATTCGCCGCCTCGCCGCCGTAAAGAGAAAAATGGTACTGAAGCTATTCGAGGATGACGGTGATGAGCTGGACAAGATTGAGATTAACGAGGAATTCGCCCGCCGGTACGAGCACAACAAGAAAAGAGAAGACTTGCAAAAGCTGGAAGAGTTGAAGAAGAAAGGCATAGTTGATGACTCCGACGCAGGATCCGATGAGGAAGACGATGAAGAAGAAGAGGATCTGGATACTTCAAGTAATTTAAAGTTCTTTGATGGTTTGCTTAAGATTAAAAAAGGTGACCCTGTTTTGAATACTAAAGATGCTAAGTTATTTAATTCTGAATCTGAAACTAATTCTGAGTCGGAGGAGGATGAAGAAAAGGAGAAGAAAGTGAAAAAGAAAAAGCAAAAGCCAATGTATTTGAAGGATGTAGCCTCTAAGCATTTGATTGAGGAGGGTCCCGAATTCGGAGACGAAGAGGAAGAGAACAAAGTGAAGACGTATAACGAGGAGCAAGATGATTTGAGAAACGAGTTCTTAAATGCTGTTAAGGATGAGGAAGAAGAAGAGGGGGACTTGTTTAAGATGAAAGAGGCTGAGAAAGATGAGGAGGAGGGTGACCCTGAGTTTACTAAGAAGTTGGATGAGTTTTTCGGGGAGGATGATAAGCTCGATGAGCAGACGGTGTTTTTAAAGGATTTTTTTAGGAAGGAGATGTGGAGGGATGATAAGGGAAGTAGTAAGAAAGGGGATGAAAAGATTGAGGAGGCGGAATTTTCGGAGGATGAGGAGGAGATTGAGAGACAAGAGGATTATGAGAGGGAGTTTAATTTTAGATTCGAAGAAAATGCAGGTGATCGAGTGTGGGGACATTCAAGGAAGGTGGAGGGATCAGTGAGGAAGAAGCCGAATGCGAGGAAGTTGCAGAGGGAGAGAAAGGAAGAGAGAATGGTGCAGGCGGAAGAGGAGAGAAAAGAGGAGTTGAAACGATTGAAGAATCTGAAGAAGAAGGAGATGAAGGAGAAGCTTGAGAAGATTAAGGAGACTGCTGGGATAGGAGATGACGGGGTTTGTTTGTTGGATATGGATGATTTGGAGGAGGAATTTGATCCAGACAAGTACGATAGAAAGATGACGGCGTCTTTTGGTGATGCCTACTATGACGGAGATGATATAGATCCTGAATTCGGAAATGATGAGGATGAACTTGAAAAGCCAGATTTTGACAAGGAAGATGAGTTACTGGGACTCCCCAAGGGATGGGATAATGTGGACGAGCCTCGTGATGGGTTTTTGTCAACTAGGGAAAAACTTCTGAAAGCTATAGAAACTGAAGGTGATCACGAGCAAACAACTGATGACAATAAAGTAAGTGCAGATGACGATGAGGCTGCTGAAGATGGTAAAAGAAAGAAGAAACGGAAGCGAACTAATACAGTTATGAAGGCAGTTAGAGAAGAACTAATGGAGGAGTATTATAAATTGGACTATGAGGATACTATTGGGGATTTGAAGACAAGATTTAAGTATAGGCCTGTCAAAGCTAAAAGATTCGGGCTTGCTCCAGCGGAGGTGCTAATGATGGAGGATACTGAGTTAAATCAGTATGTCCCTTTGAAGAAGATAGCGCCATATAGAGAAAAGGAATGGAAGGTATCCCGTTTGAAATTGTTGCAACTGAAAGATGTATCAAAATCTGACAAGAAGCCAAAGTTTGATAATAAGGAAAAAGTTGAAGCTGAGACCGATGATAGGAAAAGGAAACAAGAAGAATCTGACGGAGACACAATAAAACAATCCAGGCGAAGTAGGAAAAGAAAGAAACAAGCTGAGCATAAATTATCTATACCAAGGTCTAAGATATACTCAGGTACCGTATCAGGGTCAAACAGCAAAAAGAAGTAGCCGCCAGTTTATGGGGGAGCAGTTTTGTATTACAGGTAGTTATTTAAATTATTTTGCAGCATGTTCGTTTTCAAAGTGGTTTGTTCGAGTCATATTATTTATTTCAGACTGTGATTCTGTTTTGTGGAAGAAAAATTGTATCTGGTATTGTTTTAGTTGAAACTATCAAGTACATTTGTTTCATGATGCTGTATTTTGGAAAATTATAAAGTAGTTAGGAAGTTTAAATGTCACTATAGTTTTAAATGCCTGTAATTGTTGTAGTCTACCTGAAATCAAGTAAAAAACTAACATAGAATCCTTCAAACTGCTGCCTGTCATCTCTATTATAATAAGGATGATGATTCTGCTTTGAATTCTCTACACCTTTTTACACTGAACATTCTGGATGTATAATGGTTGTGTGATCAAAGACATGTCCTATATACCATTTATCGTAGATAGATTTGAGAATAGGTGTGATAGCAAGATCCTTTTTTTTGTCTTCTTTTCCCTGTATTGAACCAACGTAATGATATAGAGAAAAAGAGACCCTTCACTCACACCAATAGAATGGAAGGACTAGAAAAGTATATTTTTGGTAGTTATATGTGTATTAGAATAGCATAGAAATCTACTTTTTTTTCCAGAAAAAGAGTTGGGTATCACAGCACTATATCAAACAATAGATGGCTAACGGATTAATTGAACATCAAGTTTGCTATGCATTAAGAAGAATCGATTGTTGGTTGTTTTGTTTAGTAGAATTGCCTCAATTCATTTACTTAACTATAAAGCTGGTTTTCATTTCTGTGCAACTCTCATGTACTAAGTTCTTCTCTCTGGCATTGATTGCAGTTATGAAGCAAATTGCTGATAACAAAGGTAGATATCGGAGAGTTCATGTTGTAGCTTTTTGAAAGATGCAGATACACTTCACCTGTGCAGCTTAGTTTGAAAAAACGCGTCTGAGTTGCTGAAGTCCGTTGCCATGCTTGAGGAACTTATTTGTTGAGTGGTAGGAGCTAAGCGTTTTAACAGGACGTTCATATTTATTGGAATTTTGCAAATCGAATTTCCTTCTTTTGCCAATTCTTACTAAGAGTGTTGAGATGAACCATGTACTGGATTACTCATTTTGTTCCTAAAACAAAAGGATTTTGCTAATCCTTGTGTTTGTTCTTTACAACCACCCCCTCCTTTTGCTACTTGTTAATGACAAACTTGTGGTTTACCCCTTGTGTTTGCCGTAGTAGTCCATGAGGTGATTTGAGAACCATGGAATCTCAGGTTGAATCTCAGGTTCAAATTCGAGATGAACACACTAGGTATCATCATTGCAAATGTTAGATTATCGTTTGTAAGGTTGAGAAATATATGCTACTTGTTAATGACAAACTTGTGGTTTACCCCTTGTGTTTGCCGTAGTAGTCCATGAGGTGATTTGAGAACCATGGAATCTCAGGTTCAAATTCGAGATGAACACACTAGGTATCATCATTGCAAATGTTAGATTATCGTTTGTAAGGTTGAGAAATATATGCTACTTGTTAATGACAAACTTGTGGTTTACCCCTTGTGTTTGGCGTAATAGTCCATGAGGTGGTTTGAGAACTATGAATCTCAGGTTTAGATCCGAGATGAACACACTAGGTATCATCATTGCAAATGTTAGATTATCGTTTGTAAGGTTGAGAAATATATGAGTAGACATTAGACTCGAGTCTGAATTCTACCTAAATTTGATAGCATAAATTTTTTTTACACTGTCAGTACATATAAAATAAACTCTCTTCATGAACACACACCATACCATCTTCAAATTGAGCAATAACGATGCTAATGCATCAATATAAAACCAAAACTTGGACTAAAAGGGAAAAGAAATGGTCACATTTACTATCAATTTTATTAATTGCATAAAATTGATAGTAAATGTTTGGCCTAAATTATCCTGAGATTAAAAAAAAAAGATTTTTGCTCCACTTATTAAAGCTCAAATAGTCACTCCATCACTACGCTCCTGCTATAATAGGTTAAGATACGTTAGTAACGTAAATATTTTTTATATCATAGGTTGTACTCGAGTGAAAGTGAAATATTTGATATTTTAATATATCACTCTTTTATATATTGATCGAATATATACGAAATGGGGTCTTTTTTATATACTTTTGAATAGTACTCACATTGTAAATGTTTTTTATAAATTGACATTTCAAATTAAGTTAAAGTCAACAAAATGTATTATTTCCATTTATCCCCGAAATTCTTGGCTTTAAAGTTTAAAATCAAAACAAATAATTTTTTTTTAATTATTTTAAAAAGAAAACATTTTATTTTTTTTCATTTCATTACAAAAATATGTAAAAAAGCAATGCATTTCTTGTTGTTTTTTTTTCACCTCAGAAACAGGACTTAAAAGAGATAAATAGTCTTTTTCTCTTCTTTTTTTTTTCTCCGGTGACCGTCGCCGCACGGTTCACCGTCGACGGGAAAATTAGGGCTAATTTTTGGGAATTTTCAAAAAATGTTCTAATTTTCCAATTGAGAATTTTGATGATAGTGTTCATGAGTATCTGTTGGCATTATTTGAATTCGTTTCGAAAAAAAAAATAACTTTCAAATTAGGTCAAAATTTCAGGCCAATATATTGTTGATGATTTTGAGGAATTTTATTTGTGCTTAAGATATGATATTAGGTAGATTAGTGAAAAGAGATTGGCTGATTTGGTTTCCATGTTGTATGACGATGGATGATAACAATCAAATTAGTTCTTTGGAAGATAGCATCATTCATCAATACAAAAGCGCCAATTCTCAAGCACAATTTGCCAACATTTCTCTTAAAACTGGTAATTTTTATGCGTTTTTTCCTCACAATCTTTCGTAGTGTAAGATTGTTTGCTCTATTGGAAACAGCCTCGAAAAGGTATGGTCTCCAGACCTCACTTGTGGGATTATAGTTACTGGACATTTTGTTGTTGGGGTTACATTTTGCAATTTGTTATATGAATTCCTCTGTTTTTTTATGTGTTATATTATGGGAAATGTAATGAATTTACCTTGGAATAGGGTAGTTTTGCTCTCCGTTATAAGTCGTTTGCGTGTTTGGCGTTGATAAGTTATTGGACATTGACTTTAACAAGCTCCAATTTTGTAAGATTATACTGGATTTGTTGTTATCGTTTGACTGTAATGAGTTACAATGTGGAGTAGGTAGATTGTACATGTCAAACTACTTACAAAAGTGTCCAGGTTTACCTTCTTCTATATGAAATATCGTAATTTACTCTCATTTAGATGTCATTCGTGCTGTTGTTGTTAACGAATTATTTGGTCCTCGAGTTTAATGAGCTCTAATGTGGAGTTGGTAGATTGTACATGTCAAAATACTATAAGAATAATGTCTAAATTTACCTTCTTCTATGTGAAGTATCATCATTTTACTTTCCTTTATATGTTATTCATGTTGTTGTTGTTGTTAACAAACTATTTGTGGAGTAGGCAGATAAATTCTACGTGTCAAAATACTTCAAGAAAAATGTCAACATGTACCTTCTTCAATACTAATATATCTTAACTTTACTCTCCGTCAAATGTCATTCATGCCCTTCGTTAACCAGTTCCAATGTGGAGTGGGTAGATTCGACGTGTCAAAATACTTCAAGAAAAAGGTCCAAAGTTACTCCTCTTCCTTTGAGATGTGCTCATCAAATTCGAGATGTAACTATTTGCTAACAACATGCGTATGAATGATTAGTAAGTATAATAAGGGTAAATTTAGACATTTCGTAGAGTAGAGGAGTACTTTTATACTTTTCCCTTGTATTATTGATTTGATGGTCCCCCTTTTATGTTAACCCACAATTCGTTGTTCATTAGTTTTTTTGTTGAAACCTTGCAAATGATTAATGAACACCGTTCACTAATATTGCTTTCGATCAAGGCATTGACAATTGTTTGTTTTCTATTTGTGCAAAATATTCAGATAGCAGCAGAAGGAGATACATAGCTTCAGAAATAGAAAAGTTTGGAAAAGGGAACATTTCAGCTCAAGCCTTCACGTTCCGTGAGTTGTGTCTTGCAACTGAAAACTTCGATTCTGAATGTTTGCTTGGTTCAGGTGGGTTTGGGAAAGTGTACAAAGGCCACATTAAAAGCAAGAATATGGTACTCTCCCTTCATTTTGTTTGTTTGAAAATTGATAAGCTTTCGTCAACTCTAAAAGAAAACAAAGGGGAAATGATTTAACTATTGTTTTTCTCATGTTGCTTAGGCTGTTGCTGTGAAACAACTTGACAGGAATGGTTTCCAAGGAACGAAAGAGTTCCTTGTGGAGGTCCTGCTGTTGAGTCTTCTCCGTCACTCTAACCTTGTCAATTTGATAGGATACTGTTCAGACGGTGATCAGAGAATATTAGTTTACGAGCTCATGTCAAATGATTCTTTAGAAGTTCATCTTCTTGGTATGCATTCATATCCGACCATCTCCAAATTTCGTTAATTGAAGAACTCAAGTTCGAAACCCCTTGCCGGCGAAAGCAAGGGGTTTGTCTTCTGGGTCAAGCTTGTCGCACCGGGCTTGCCTAGTGCGGGTTTCCTCTCCTATGTGGTTTGCGAGCTATTGTATAGGAGCAGGGGTTTTACCCTGTGTGTACCCAAAGGGTAGCGGTTGCGGGTTCCCAAAATAAAAATAAAAATATGCATATCCAATTATCCATTCAATAACTTGATCAATGAGTGTCATTCACAATAATATAATTTCCCATTGTTTGGCAGAACTTGGTCCAGATCAAAAGCCTCTTGATTGGTATACAAGGATGAAAATTGCAACCGGAGCAGCAAGAGGACTTGCATACTTGCATGAAACGGCTAATCCTCCCGTGATTTATCGGGACTTTAAATCATCCAACATACTTTTAGATGAGAACTTTGATCCCAAGCTTTCTGATTTCGGACTTGCCAAGCTAGGACCAACAGGTGACAGTTCTCATGTGTCCACCAGGGTCATGGGAACTTATGGTTATTGTGCACCTGACTATGCTTGCACAGGTAAATTGACCATTAAGTCCGATGTTTATAGCTTCGGTGTAGTCCTTTTAGAAATAATCTCAGGAAGAAGAGTCATCGACAGCTCCAGACCCAGCGAAGAAAAGAACCTCATCAAGTGGGTAAGTTTCAAGAATTCAATGTCGTTTCATTTTATATGACACGTTTTCCTTCCTAATATGTTAGTGCCAAAAGTGTTTCTCTTTGTTACACTCCGTGCCTAGCAATTATGAACCTATCTTTATTTGACAAATTGATGGACAGGCACGACCACTGATCAGCGATAAGAAGTTGCACTTAATAGCAGATCCATTGCTACGAGGGAACTACCCGAGGAGGGGATTGGATAAAGCTCTAACAGTTGCAACAATGTGCCTGCAAGAGGACGCCAGTACGCGACCTTTAATGAGTGAAGTAGTGACTGCTTTAGACTATATATTGAATATCAAGAAACACGACGATGATCACAAGGAGGAAACTGCAGATGATACTTATAAATCTCCACCTGCATTGCAAACTATTACAAGTCATGTCGATCGTATTGCAAGTAATAAACCTAATTGTGTTAGAGAAAGATACTAATCCGTTTTCCGGGCACGAAACACTTGTATTTCTGAGTGTTTTTCTGGGTTTTGTGTAGTGTTTGTCAGTATGAATGTCCATAGATTTCTTATATACAGGTCATCGAGTTTACATTGATAATGTAAAAAAATTTTACACAGTCTGTCGGTGTATAACTTAAATACTTAGGGAAATCGGATCAAGTACACTACGATCATCCCCAGACCTCATTTTTGGGATTACATGAGTATATTCTTATTGTATTTTGAAGAAAAAAAAGTTAGTATTTGGATTAGATCTTGATAAAGTATATGTTTATTTGTAAGAAACTACTCTTTTGGATTATTGTTTACTATTTATTTCCCCTTATATTAAAGTTCAACAAATTCCCTAAAAACTATATCAATTTTGAAACCTGAATAAATCCAGAGCTTGATTAAACTAAATTAAACTTCACAAATAAATTGGCATGTATAAAGCAAAATTATCTTAGTGCAAATTCCAATTAAATTCGGGCTCCCAACAAAATTTTCTCTGTCTCCAAGGCTCAAATTCGAGACCTATAATTTAGAATAATGTACTATCATCAGTGTACCACAACTCATGTTGATCATTTTGCCTTTTACGTATAAATAATATATATAAATATAATACATAAATTTATTTATTTTATCTAAAATAATATAAATATTAAACAACAAAACAATAAAAATTCCCCACACATATTTTCTTAAAGTTTCTCTTTTAAAACAATTGTATACTAGATAATCCCCTAAAATATTAAATGTATTTTTTAAATCATTCAATAATGAAAAACTTCAACAAAAAGTGATTAATAATCTAATCTTTTTTTACATAGCTCAAAACATATAATTAGTGAGACTAATGAGCTTTTAAAGGCCTTATTTTTGTTGAAGAAAAAGGGTTTTAGTGGACTCCTCAGCTACTAAATACTCCATTTTTTTTCTCTTCTATCTCTCTGTCTCTCTCTTTCATACAGAGTACTGATTGTGTTTGTTGTGTTCTTCTTCACCATCACTTGCAGACAAACAAGAAATTAAAAACCCTTGTAAAACCCTAAAAAAAGATTCCAACTTTTACAGTTTCAACCCCATTTTTAACTTATTTTGTTTATTGTGTGGTTAAAGTTTTTAAAAAATTAAATATTTGTGAAGTTTATCAACACGGCCGCTCAGTCTCCCCTTTTGAGCTGCACTAGCAATAAGCTAGTTGGCAGAAGAAGTAGAGCTACTGCTGCTGTGGCTATGGCATTTTTGGGTCTTTCTGTTCAATCTTCCCCTTTTAAACCAACTTCTTATGTTTGGTTTTCTCCTCATTCTTTCTCTTCTCGTACTTTTTGGGCTTCTTCTGGTAAAGCCCTTCACAGGTTTGACTCTGAACCTCACTAAAGTTGCATTCTTTATACTTTATGTTATGTGATTATACTGTTGTTTTGATAAAGTTTCTGTCTTTACACTTTAAAACTTCTTGTTCTTCTGTTTTACTGGTGTTTTGGGAGTTTTTCCTGTGTGGGTGCTTATCTTTTGTTTTATTTGGTTACTCCTTGTCCACTTTTGGATTTCAGGGTGAATAATACTATTTGGGTTTCTTGTCCTTTTTATGTTTAAATGCTTGCTGAAATGAGGTTTTGGTGTAGTTGGATTTTTATGAAGGGTTTTGATGATGTACTGGACTTCATAATTGGACTATTACTGGTATTAGTATTTGTTATAGCCTGTCTCTGTATGGTGAGGGTGGAGTTTGATACTCTCTAGACACTTGGAATCAAGTCGAGTGATGCTTTTGTACTCCCATAATACCTCTTTGATGCTGAAGTTTTAATGAACTAATTTAGTTGCTTAATAGATAGTCTCTGGTTCAATTCCAAGCAGAGGTGATTTCTTGTCATTTGTCCAAGACTAGGTGGACGAAGTTATACAGTACCTGTGCTTATGGGTGGTAGCAGGTACCTCACGGAATAAGTTGAGGTGCACGCAAGCTGGCCTAACACCATGGTTATTAAAAAAAAGTACTATCGTTGGTAGTTGATAATACAGTTTGGATGAAGATGATGGGCAAGTCAATTATCAGTTTTTTAAGGGGTCGATTGGTACGAGGGAATAATCTCGGGATAAAATGCAGGAGGTTAGAAGTACTAATTAATTCGGAATCATTTATCTCATCATTTGTACTACAATAAATGAGATAAGTTATCTCATAATATAATGGGGTATCCCAATCCGTGGGATAACTTTGTCTATCCCATCTGGCATCCCCCATACCAAACAACTCCTAAGAGAAACGTCAGGTCTCAATGGAGAAATATTCTAGTGCTGTTTATTAACTTCTATTATAGGTGGGGCTCCTTCTTATTCTCGTTCTTTGTCTTGTCTTATAAGCTAGAGTGATAATATAAAAGAAGGATCCTTTCTGGCACGATCTTTGTATGATATCATAAAATAAGAAAATGCATGCAGGAAAGAGCTAGAACAGCCCCGAAATCCCTTGTGATTACTGTGGAGGGTGTCAATTTTGTGTTTATTATGGAAATTTGGAACGTATTGGTGATTACGAAATATCGTCTAATATCTTTTTGAAAAGATTGCCATTTGTTTTCTTCAAAAGAAGAGGAATTTATGCTTCTTTATCCAGTACTGTAATGCTGATATTATTCCAGTTAGATATCTGTGAAGAGTTTTTGACCATGTATGATCTGATGAATGGGGAGAGAATTGAAAGCATAATGCCAGCTATTTAATGTAGTTTGTGAAGTCCCAGTTTATAGCTAATTGATTAAACCTCTCATTATTTTCCGATTACAAATTGAATATCATTTGCAGGGGGGAAGATTGCAAAACTCGGAGTATAGAAAATGCATCTTCCAGCTTAGCGGTGTTTGGCGATCCCATTAAACAAATATCAAGTCATGAAAGGAAGTTATTCTCTAGTGGATTACAACAGAAGATTGAGGAAGACAGTATTTACGGATGGAATGCTGAAATTGATGCTATTAAAGCTCTTAAAGCAAAAAACGCTTATAATAGTTATAAAAAGATTTCAGCGGCAAATTGCAGTGTTAGCGCCTCCATAGATCGGAAGGTGAATGATGAAAATTCTGATGTTCCAATTGAAGTCAATACGAGAATGATGCGTGAGCGTGTTACCTCTAGCTATTCAGCTACAACCTGTATTTCAGGAGGCAGCTTATCTTCAAAAAGCAAACCACCTCATAACCCTAATAGAGGAGAGAAGAAAGACGTTGGGAACTGGAGAGAGTATAAAAAACATTTGCCTCAACTATCTGTAGGTATCAACCATTCAAGAAACAATGAAGTCACATCAATAAATAAGGTTGATGGTCCTAATGTATCTCATTACAAACCATTATCAAAAGGTTCCAATCTTAATGGGCAATTATCAAGCAAAATTGTAAACGCCAAATTCGAAAAAGCAAATAAACTTTGGCAGGGTAATGCATCTAATCAAATAAGAGACAGTGTGAATGGGACTGATACCAAGGTGGTTACTGTCAAAGCAAAAAGTGTTATCCTGGAGCAAGCAACTATCGAAAGGGAAAAGAATGCAGTTAAATCGGTGGCAACTGATTTTGTGAATGGAAATGAGGCTAAGATTGTCAGTGATAAAGGAACAGGTTTAGATCAGATTACCCTCCGTGAGAGGCTGGGTGCAATGTATGAAAAAGTGCATATAGTTGACAATTTATCTGCAGCCAAGGAAGTTGTCAGCAAACTTACAAGTCAGTACAAGCATCTCGTCCATGCATGTGATACTGAGGCATGTATATGTTAATTTTGTTTGGTTTTTGTGATTTATTGGGAATCTGCGATTTCCATGCACATAGAGAATTCTTCATTTGCTATTACATTTGTTGTTCAACCACTTTAGAACTTATTGACCCTTTTTGATCATTCATACATAGGTAGCGAATATTGATATCAAGCAGCAAACACCTGTTGATCATGGAGAAGTTATATGCTTCAGTATTTATTCTGGACCAGAGGCTGATTTTGGTGATGGGAAATCTTGTATCTGGGTAGATGTTCTTGATGGAGGTGGCAAGGACCTATTAGTCGAATTTGCTCCGTTTTTCCAAGACCCATCCATCAGAAAGGTAGCCCTTTTATTATGTATCTTTGTTTGGGTGATTGACTGATCGTTGGTCCTCTAAATTCCTTTACCATAGCTGTCCATTGAAGATCTTTGTTCATGCTTGTTTCACGTAAAGTCACTTTCCGTTTCACGTAAAGTCACTTCCCGCATATCATACCATTAACATACAAATTATAATATGCAGTTGTTTATCTGTAGGTCTGGCACAATTATAGCTTCGACAACCACGTAATAGAAAATTATGGGTTTGAAGTATCTGGTTTTCATGCTGACACAATGCACATGGCACGACTTTGGGATTCCTCTAGGCGAATTTTGGGTGGTTATTCATTAGAGGCACTAACAGGTGATTCTCATGTCATGTGTGATGCTAGACTAGTCCATGCTGAAAGGCTGTTCCATGATGAAGGTCTGTTTGGTAAAATATCTATGAAAACTATCTTTGGTCGGAAAAAGCTGAAGAAAGATGGAACTGAGGGTAAAGTAATCATGATTCCTTCTGTCGAAGAGTTGCAAAGGACTGAACGAGAATTGTGGATTTGTTATTCTGCATTAGACTCCATCAGCACATTGATGCTTTATGAGAGCTTGAAGAAAAAACTATCTAAACGGATCTGGACATTCGATGGAGTTCGTAAAGGATCTATGTATGAATTTTATGAGAAATACTGGCGTCCATTTGGTGAGGTTCTAGTTCAAATGGAAACTGAGGGTGTGCTGGTTGACCGTGCCTATCTTGCTGACATTGAGAAAGTCGCTAAAGCTGAGCAGCTGGTTGCTGTGAATAGATTTCGTAACTGGGCAGCTAAGTACTGTGCTGATGCAAAGTACATGAATGTTGGAAGTGACACACAGTTGCGTCAGCTGTTTTTTGGTGGCATCCAGAATAGGTATAAAGCTTTCAAAGAAGAGTACTTTCTTGCAGAGCAACATAATTAAAATTGTTTTTGTGTGTTGAATAACGTGCATTTTACAACACATTTCTCGTTCATCTGATACTGGTTGCCCAAATAGCATCCCCCTCTGTAATCTTACACCAATGTGGATATTATTGATTGTTGCTGTATGCAAGTCATTTATGGTGGAGTAGCTGTCCTTGGAAAATCCAAATGCAAGGCCAGACAGGGGGAATAAAATATGTATAGCAGGTGTAGTCACCACATGAAGAACACAGGCCAT